ACTTACTAAAATGCATACCTAGTCTAAATATATAGACACTTGTATTTTTAACTGTATAACTTGACTATTAAACCGCTAGTGCCATTAGTTTTGTTATTGCACTTAAAAAAATATAATGTGCTTGTATCTCGCAATATTGATTAAAGCTTTTCACCTGGCCGCATAATTTTGTAATAGTTGTTTACGAAGAAAATATCGACAGTGATTCCCTCGACAGTGTATTGTCAGTCTCACTTCGCATCCGTGATAAGTGCTCTCCAAAATGTTAAAAATTTGTTTCACAAAAAAAATATTTTATTCTCTTCAATGTTAGGCTGCATGCGGACAAAACTACGTATTTTGATGAAAAATTCCTATTTCATAGGCTACATCTTAAACAGCTTCATAGATTTTTAACATATGAGGTGTCACTGGGTCCTTTTTATATATTTTTTAAACGTACTTGTTACTGCAAACTTTTGCAAAGGTGAAAGTTAATTTGTTCTACTTTAGAAGATTCAATGAAATCTTCTAGCCATTCAACAGGTCCAGAAACAAGTGAAACTATTGAAGAGAACTCAGAGAAATAAATTGCGTTACTATCTCTCCAGGAAAGTAACAGGTCCTAGATCACTGCCCGATGAGTGGGTGTAGATAATGTGATAAGGAAGAACCAACTGAAGTGCTCTGGGTGATATCTTTGGGCGACGCTTTCCTGCAAACCTTATTGTAGAAGAAATTGTTCTAAAGGTGATTTAAAGAGCTCTTATCTGCAGCGTTCTGATGGTAGTATATTATGCCAGTGCTTTGACCATCGCAGGTTAAGTGTACTTACCTGAACAAGATACTAAGTCTGTTTTAGGGCAGTAGGCTTCGGCAGTCCTTCACCTCCCGCATTCTACGGGGGCAAACCCTAACAGTCTGCGGTACGTTCAGCTGCTTGAAGAGTATTTCTAGTATCTAACGTTTTCCCTATAGCTGCCGCTGCTGACGAAATACGCTTACTCATGGAAAACTCACGTGTTTAACACTCTTAACTTTTACAAGATTTCGTAAGTGCCTCTCTGCCGCACGCGGTTATCTTTTTAGTAATATCGAGAGCAAAGATGGCAGCTTTCAATAAATTGGATGAGTTTACTCCACAAGATGATTATTGACCTTTCTCTCATTTCTGATGCCTGGTCTTCATTCACTTTTGCAACCAGTTGAGTCTGAGCTTTTCGGAAATGAGGTTGTGCTACCTGAAAATAGAAAAAGAATAGCAAGAAGCGAACATATCTATTCAGTTCTTATTCTTCTTTACGTGCTATCTCCGCTATAAACTCTATGACTGGATGCCATTTTGATCTTTGAAGCTGCTGCACGAAGTAGTTGAATTAAGACGTACTTCTCTTTACGGGTAATGGATCCTAAATAGGTATTACAATTTCCTAGTTTCAATGGTAAACGTTATTTCTTTATCATTTTATTCTTCCAATACTATTTAGTTTAGATTCGGCTTTTAGGACTCTACGGTAAGACCACATTCCAAAGTACTCTAACTTTTTCTTACAGGCATTTAGAGCACACGACTCTATTCCGTATAGGAGCATGTGTTGAGGCAGTAGAGACGTTACTGATATACATGCCTAATACCCAATCGACACAAGTTTGATGGAGCTTGGGATTCCAGCCTAACGGATAGCTCTTGGGTAATAGAGGTATAAGCTCAATATGAATGGCAGAGAAACAAAGAATAAATACGGGGCAGCTAATTATAAAATGGTAGAGGATCGAAAAACAACTACCAATACGCATGTTGCCACGACTTTTTTTGGTTAATTAACAAAACACAATGATAAATACTATCTAACGGTTGGTACAAGCAAAACCGTTGTCTAGTGGCGTGCAAATTTAGGCCCTAGCTCAATAAAGCGGTGAGTAGGGGAGGGGTTAAGAGCGCCAGTGACTTAGGACGGATTAAGCCACAACTCCCCGAGATGTTAGTCGGAACTTGTTTTACTTGACCACCACACAAATAGAGAATCTAACAGATGACGAAATTTAAGTAACAGTACACACAGACAGAGCCAAATAAACAAGATATCAAATGAATCTCAAAATATTGATTAATAAAAAAACGCACATGTGCTCCTCCACTGGAGTGCGAATAATAAAAAAAAGAAAGGATGTTATAAATCTTAAATACATACTGACAAAATTATTTTTCGAGATAACCCCGCAAAACGTCTACCATGGTATACGCCCGAAGTATTTACAGATATTTTGTGCCTAAATACTAAACTTATCTGTAGGTCTTCTTTGTCAGGCGCGGCCGAGATGTCCTCGAATCAGGTCAAAAAGTGGCTAGTAGTGGGCATATCACTGGGCAGGGGCTGCTTGCCTCGTTGCCAAAAATTATGGTAGTAACAAAAAAAAACCTAGAGAGAGAGAGACTGTTTAAAAATCTACTCTACTCTCTGTCTGAGATAAAACTACTCGTTGAGAACAATCGCACTTGAAGCAAAACCATGTACATTTTTTGTACAAAAAAAGTAAAGCAAAGGCAAAAAAAAGATAAAAATGTACTAAACTAATATACCCTTGTTCAAAAAAGTTATGGCAGCTCAAAAATCAAAATCATGATCAAAGTAATAGAAGGTGCCATGTAGGCACTGCCCCCATATTTGAATACGTAGAATGTACAATAATATCAAGAAGTCTCTAATAATTTCATAGAAGCAATAATAAATGGATAAAGATCTATGAAATTGTTAATTAGAATGATATTTTACCTGTTTTTTCAAGGGGATGGCTTCCCAATTTGCAAAACTGTAACGATGCAACTAACTGAAGGAGAAAGGATGATGATTTTCTTCTGTTTCTAATGACAAAAAGAAAGCAGATATTGAACGAACGTCATCAGGACACGCATTAAGGCACGTGGTCCGAAGGTATATAAAAAAGAACTTACCGCTGAGGGTCAAAATTCCATAAAAAGATGTATGACGTAGCACCCAAACCAAAATAACTAAACTTAAGTTACAGAACACAAAAGAAAAGGGTGCTAGTCCATGAATTGGCGCTTGGGGCCTAATATCTCAGAGTCCGGAAAACGACGAAACGCAGGGGGCACCACGACCTCAACGGAAACAGAAAAGCGAATCACGCAGAACACGTAACCTTCTAGAATAAGGCCTCTTGAGTGGCCTTGAAGAAGATATGTTTTATAGGAAACCATCTGGCGGAGAAAAACTACAGAGTTTTTTTTGCTGATCGTCAATACCATACTGAATCGCTGAGAAAGAAAGATATAATACGAGTGAAATTATACAATCAAATTACGGATAAGTGTTAAATAGTAAAAAAAGGTTACGTGATTTTGGCACGTGACAATGTAACTATGGAGACAGGTTGTGAATGTTAAGGATGGTTTGATAATGAGCTATGTGGGCAGATTATTGTACCTCGCAGTTTCTTACACGTCATCGGTGTTTTCCAAGCAACGGTTTACGCAAACTGCGTATATTATGTTGACGGACAGTATATTCCTAATTTTTTACTCAAACCTAGTAGATGGTTGGACCAGTGACAGTATCAAGTAACAGACATTGGGAATATCTGCCGTCATATACTGCAGCTAGCACTACTTCGATAGTAGAACTCAGCGGATAATCTAGAAGCTAATCGAGATTAAAAATTTCGAAGGCTTTAAACTTATTAAGGATTTAAAAGCTTCAAATATAATTATGTTCTTTTCCTACAAACCTCTTGCAGATAGCCATTAAACACCTACTTGATGACAGGCTCTACCAAAAATTTCACAGATATTGCTCGTTTCCAAACATTCATTCATTTACTTGCCATTCATCAGTACCATTATAGCACCGTCGATTGATATTCCCACAAAACCATTCAGGATTTTTGATATCCATAAATCCATAGTCAAATATTTTTTGGTTGTTCAGGAACTGAACAAACATCCACACTATATTTACATCGATTAAGAAATACCCAAATATATGTCGTAAAGCTAACGGCAAGCTTAAAACCTGCCAAAAAAATAGAATTTGCAATAACTTTCTTGTTTCACTGAGTACAGCTTCTAGGTTATATTTATATTAGACACTATTTGAATAACAGCTGATTATTACATTTCAAAACTCCCCAACGGGTGACACATGTGTGGGATCCGTCCACCCTTGGTCCCAGTGGAGTAAGCTCCGCCAACTGTTGAAATATACCATACTATGCTTTGTAAGACTATACGTGGAATTTTTTCCAAAATCGTTGCACAACACTTGAAAAATGCAAATGAATATTTAAAAAATTATTTCCATGACGCCGCAAAATAGCTCCGTCGGCACCCTCTTGACAGTAGGGATGTTCGATACGATCCTATATTTAGAAGTATCGATACTTTTGCTTCCCATACCCGATATTTTGGATCGATATTTTTATATACGACACTTGGGTGTATCGATACATTTCACGAGTATCGTCATCTTTCAATCCGGACTGTGTCAGAAAGAGTGACTAACTTCAGGTTACTTTTCTTCTTTGTTTCCTTCCGCTGGATATCGATAATTTTATTCCAATATTTTAGAGTATCGATACCTCCTAGAACGATAAGGATCGATACATAACGATACTTTTCGTGGATCTAAACATCCCTAATCTTGAAAGCTTGTCGTTCTTGTCAACTGGGTTGCCTTTACTATTTTACATTTTGCTAAAATCTTATAACAAATAAAAGCTTCAAATGAAATATTGACGAATATGAACGGATATGCATAGAATTTAGAATATAAATTCATATTGCAAATTTCAGATTGTCTATGCATGGACTTGAACCGGATTTTTCGGTATTTTTACCGAAAAGAGAATATTTACCGATAAAATCATTCTCCACGATTTTTCAAAATAATTTAAATATTTCTATACTTGCCGAAAAAGAGCTGCAACCAAAAGTAAAGCTAAAAGTTTATTTTTTGTAGTCTTCATAATTTTATGCCCCATATCAATCATACATATGCATACTCACTCAGGCAGTCGGGCACATGAGAAGCGTAGATTTGGGTTGTCTATGATTACGAACGCACATCCTCATCCCTTACTCCGCTTGCCCTGAATTGATACAAAAGGTAGATTACCGTCATTACCTCATCACCGGACAAGCAATACAGAAACCGAAACCTGTCTGTTTTCAAAATAAATATTTAATTAAAATGACAGGCGAGACCATTAGTTCAGGGGTAAAACAGAAAAATATTCACAATCCTGCAAGCAAGAATCGAAAAAGTAGATTCCAGAATGGTTGCAAAGTACTTTGAAAGAGCGACCAGTATGCACATTGTAGAAGTTGTAATATAGAACTATGCCCTGAAAAAACATGTTGTGTGCGTGCCCAATACAAAAACAGACGTTTTTCATGACTCAAAAGTCCTTGATCTACCACTGATCTTGGGACGGCATTTACTTTATACCGAATTCAACGACACTATTTACAGATTCCGTCTTTTTTTGCCGGTTCGGCAACACTGCAGATGTGTAGATCACTTTAAAAGCAATTGATATCCCAGACGTGTTATAATAATGGAAATAATAAGAAAATATAACAATGTTTGGAGATATATTTTAATAAATAGGTATCTTTGAGTCTGACTTATCATATCTAGACGGTGGATGAGGGTACTTTAACAAATATCGATGTTTCAGTACCCAGAAGTGCAGAATGTGCTGTTTGTTTACATTTGGTGTAGATTTCTAGATCATAAATTGACAAAAATTATTTTTGATGTAACAAAAGATGATGCACCAGTTGAAATACGTTTTATATCCTTTTTTTTCCAAACAGCAAAAAACGGTACATTTCTACAGGTATGTATTATGTACAACACCTGGTACGTGATATACGGACAAAACTAGATTGCCATGCATGAACAGATATCAAAAACGGTGAAAACGTCCTACCAAATATAATAGCTAGAAACTCGACCTATTATTTCTCTCATTTTCATTGGTCCATTTAAATAACTGACCGTCTTTCCTGAAATGATAAGAATTTGAAATTCTATGAAAGCTATCCTAACTCTAAAGCACAAAGACATAAAATTACATCTATAATGTACTCTTATTTATAAGCCAAGCGTTTTTTCTACGACTTTATTCGACATTTCAATAGAAATCACTGATATTCAGAGAGCTTTGACAGCTTCCGTCAAATTGCATTTCGATGAAGTCTATCTGGTTCAACTGACCGTCAAATATTAATGCTGCTTGGCAGCTGCAGTTTGGGTGTGTCAAGGTCTGGCAACCGTTTGTCATTCGGAGCCCCTTGCTTGAATCCTCTTACTTCGTTATGACTCAATAAACGTTTATCTTCTCTATCTCAGTACCCGCTATGCCAGAAGAGGTGTGGTGACCGACCCCACACACAATTCCAGAGACTCCTACTAATAACCTAAGAGTATTGAGATTAGGTTTCGAGCCTTGTTATCAGGCTGTTGAAGGTCAACAAAAAATTTTTAAGCGGCTGAACTCAATCAGTATGCCATGGACTGCATCAAGATGATCGCGCCAAACGAAAACGACGTATATTGTGTGTGATCCAACTTATATTTGTTCACTAAACCTTGTCCATACCTACCTCCCTACCTGTACTATAGAAAGTGTGCCTCAGCAGTGCAGTTTGGCGGTAATGGTCCTGCAACCGTTGCATATGGACTGGTGACTGCCGGACTGCCGGCAGGCGCTGCCATATACGACCACCACATAGCAAAAACGGCCGTACGCGACAACAAATTACCGCCAGGTCGGTGAATGCGAAAATTTCGACCAACGGCCAGCCGCAGGCCCGTTAACGAGCTTTGATTATTACACGGATTTCTTTGCTGTGAGGGTGACCGCTTGATTGATATGCGCTGACCAACGGAGATTAAATCTTGACTTGGCCATGGAGCATTCCCTTAAAGAGTCTTGTACGTCAGCAGTGGAATATGTTATAGGTACTGACTCTCCTATTATATAGAATACAAGACTATGCGTATAACAGCCACATTTCCTCTTTAATGAGAAATATTCGTGCTCCCCAATTGCTACTGCTGAATTGTAAAAGGAGGATGTCTGGACAACCGGAAACCATGTCAAACCGACGACTGGTCAGACAAGCAATTTAGGGCTAGAAACATTTCTCTTTTGCTACTAATGAATATGGTGTAATATTTCGCGTATGGCTCTAACAAATGCAAAATGTTTGCGCAACATTCAAATTGTATCTAACATCAAGGTGCGTAATTGGGCAATCCTTGGTGTAATTGTTATGGTTGCCAGTTACCTACAGGGCCTTCTCGTAACTCCTATCCGCTCCTGATTGCAGGAAGCCAGTTTATAGTGAACTTTGAGATACTTTTCACTGTACTCTTTGATGTGCCGTTTAGCCCTGAATTCCTATGGCTGTGGAGGAATAAATGAATTATGAAATTAGAGGCATGCCGGCCACCATGAGGAGACGGCGCATATGGCACTTGGATGGGTTCTTATGTACTCCTACGTTCCCTAAGCCTCAAGCTTCGCTCTTCTAGCAAAGTTGAGTATGGCCTTGAGTCCCAGCTCCTTAACATTCTGAGGGTTAAAAGTGATGAGCCTCAGTATAGTGTGCCTGTCGTATCTAAGAGCTTCACTCACAGCGACCCAGAAGCCACCCCCATCACGTGTAGGTGGCGCCTCAACGTGTTATGGACAGACAACAGTCCCACCGGCAGCCTTAGGTTGGCTCTATCCAAGGATAAGCAAAAGCCTCCATCCTCAGCGCTGCGCCCTACGATGAGTTGTCGTGCCTGACGGAGATGTCTGGAGATTCGTCTCCATTTCTGAGAGTGTTGTCTTGCAACTCACTTCTCCATTTTCATTCTAACTCTTTGTGCGGGCACTCCTAGGGCTGGCTAAGGACCAACGACCTTGCTGGCTGATTCTGTTACGCATGGGCGTCCCCCATATCATTGCCCATTATCCCAGCGTGTCCTGTACCCACACTAACATTACCGGATGCCTCGCTGCTAGACAATCCAGTGCCTCCCTGCATTGCAATACAAAGCACTTAGGGCCGTATCGTCAGTCGTTCCTAAAATGGTAGGATGCCTTTATGGCCCCATTGATTTTCATGGTTTTCCTGACCTTCAGACAGGCACTCTATTTTGAGGTTTTTGAAAATACCTATTTGCATCAAGTTATTCATGCTTTCAGTTTCTATTATCTGCTTTATTAGCCAGAAATGTTCTACAATTTATTAAAACGAAAACATACCTACTGGAGCGCTGACGCTGGCATGGAACAATAAAAATCTAGTCTTTTTGAAGGAGAGAAAATGCTATGAAAATCAAGGAGGCCATAAAGGCGTCCTACAATTGTAGGAACGACTGACGATTTGGCCCTAAGTGCTTTTTATTGCAGCCTGGCTGTCGGGGAAGACTGTTATTCTTCTCCTAGGCCCTCCCCCTCCAAATTGCGGGATATGCAAGCCAGAATCGCAAAGATTTCCGCCTGGAAAATAGTGTTGTACCCATCAAGAGGTAGAGATAACCTAATTTTAGGCCCAAAGACACCGGCGCCGCAGCCCTCTTCAGTGACCGAGCTGCCCACTCCCTCCGGAGATCTTTCGGTTAGCGTAGTCTCATTCCGCCCTTGTTGGATATTTCTCATTCAAATTGCAGCTTAAGCGATATTTAGAGGTGATCAAATCACCCCTGCTCAGAAGAACAGGGTCCTCCCTTTGCAGTTCGACTAAGATGGCAATGTTACCTTTGACAGGATTAAAAAAAGCTCAGCTGCCCTGATCCCACAGTCGATGTGCGACTACTCTCTCCTCTCCGCGGATCACTAGATCCAACGGTGGGAGATCCAGCAAAGCTTGCATTGCACTCAGTGGTGCAGAGCCAAACGCTGAATTTTCTTGAGTTTGGCCTTAGTTGTCTGGGTTCCAATGCAAGGCCACCAAACCAGGGAGCCGTACAAGAAGATGGACAAGCTATCGTCGTATAGAGCTGGTGTACCACATTGGGCTCCAGCCCCTGTTACTACCTTTTTTTTTATTGTAAGTTATAGCTGCATCGATTTTACGAATTAGAAGGTTCTCTACTACTTACTCGTTTGCTAGTTCATAAGATACGATATAGATAGATAAGAATATATGGATCTCATACCCTTGCTAAAATGTATTGTGCATAGGGGTATATACATTGTACATAGCATTTTCATTCCTGTTTTCACCCGTTGATTCGCTCCCTTCTGGCGGACCTGCCCTAACGAGTCTGAAACAAAACATAATAAGTAGCAGATACTTAACTCACACTACTGAAGTCAAATTACTTGTTCCCTTTCATAATTTAGTACCCCTGAAGCCATCCTAGTCATTTAAAATTTTATAACCTTAATAGCAATGAAGTTTGCGGACAGGTGTCAAGTCGGCTGTCACTGTCAAAGGTGAGAATGATAGCATGTCAACTGGCGTGGAAATGTCAGGCGCGAGACGCGGGCAACAAGGAAAAAAAAAGAAAAAGGATCGCCATTGCAAATTTTCGGTATCTACCGCAAAGGCGGATATGGTAGCGGAAAATAGCTCAAAAAGAGAAATCTTCACAATTCCAAGTGCTATAGGTGCAGCACTAGTATTGTGGGATTATTCAGATTGGGAGATTTCCCTCTACATTAAAGGCCACCCTACACCCTAGGTGGGTAGCTTACCATTTTTTTTATGCCTTTAGCTGATGCTAGAAGCACTCATGTAGTGTCTGATCAATTGCTTTGAAGTGCATGTAGCTTATGCTTGACTCTTGTCCACAGGCCTCTTTCGTTTTCTTTATTCTGTTTCTTCTTCACTTCAACGTCTTTTGCTTCCTGCTGCATGTCTACATTTGATCATGTGAGGGCTGGTTGACACCACCAGGTGACCTCCAACAGGTGATTCCAGAGATTGCAGGTCAGATTAGGCTGTAGGGTTTATTTATGTAAAACTTCAGGTTCCTGGGACAGCTAGAATATAGAGCACCCGATTTGTTGTTGTAACATTATCCATTAGATTAAGATCACTGGTTTATGTTTCACCATCTAGTGCGCATTCTTACCATAGGCATATTTACCCCTCCCCTTTCTGTAGTAACGCATCACCTTGCCCAGCAGGTTGTGTAAAAGACATACCATTTTGATGCCTTGGCGCCAAGCGTATCACTGGCGCCAAGCTTAACATAATAGACCATAAGTTGTTACTTTTGTTTTGTTGTCTCTTTTTTTATAAAATGTTGGAAACAGGAATACATTATTTATTTTGTTCTTAAGAGACCACTGTAGTACTGATTTAGTTTTCTTTAGCTAAATCTTAACAATGTTTGATAAAGACTGATTATTACATATTATACACTTTTTTTTGACGCCTTGGCGCCAAGCGTATCACTGGCGTCAAGCGTAACACCCCCACCACACGTCTGCAAACCCACATTAAATTGCGATCCTTGTTAACCTTATACTCAACATGCTCTCTCCAGTTCAGTTTACAGTCCAGGATAATTCCTAGGTATGTTACTGATTGGGATAGTCAAGCCTCCTCCTAGTGAATAGAATCGGCTCGGTCTCGTATATTTATAATTTATGCAGCAAACATACGCAGGTTCGCATGTCTTTGTTTTTTCATTTTGACTGAAACTACTTTTGTGAGTTTCTCTCTTCGAAAGCTATGTATTGATTATAGGATTATCTAATTAGACAGGCGATGCTGAAATGACCTAAGTATATATGTATATAGGGTACTAATGAAATTCTTTTTTATTTGAAGCACCTTCCTGCGACTTCGCACAGAGGCACGGATTCAAGAGCTCCAGTCCCACCTGAATTCGATCCACGGCTAGAGTTGTGTTAATGTTATTTATCGTAGAATTGCCTATTTCATGAAATAGCTGAGTTCGGCAGTATCGTTAACTTTCCAACGATTAATGATTCTTTCAGCCACGATTGACATATTGTAAAATAAGAGTGTCCATAAGGTCAAAGAAAAGCAAAGTGCTCGAGTGCGTTTTTATCTAAGGCCATTCTCCCTCATTTAGTAACGACTTATTCGAATGTTTACTTCGCAAACCAACTTTGTTGCTAATGTCCGCCAGGTTGACTCGTTAACAAAATGGTCCCAGTGCCTCTATCTGGAATTATTTTAATTCTAGGATTTGAGCAAGAATGCTTGAACCACGAAGACTAGATAGAAGGTTAAACTGCGTAAGGGATACGCATATTCGTATGAAGCCAATTGCCCAGGCGTATTACATAACTTGAACAGTGGCATTATGTTATTTTTTTTGACATTATGTAGGCTTTCTATCACGTTATATAGGTTTTTTACGTAATGACCTTGCCTGTCGTTAAGGACGGTGTATTTCTCGGATATCTATGTTAGTGGACATAGAATATGGTGTAGGGTGTCATTGCATTGAAAGATGTCAACATAACCTGCCGCAATCTTTATGTGCTGCTAACAATTTTTCAAAGTCGACTTTGGTATGCATTGGTAGTCAAATGACTCAAAACTCTGCACTAAAATCACGCGACAAACAATGCAATGTAAACACATAGGCTTAACCTCCTATGTGTAGTCTTCGTGGATTACCATTTCGTGAAGCAGCCTCGCGTCTGGCTGATCATGTGAATAAACGAACTGTTATAAGTGATCTGGTCAATGTGACCATTTCATGAAATGCTCAATCACTTCAGGAAACGGCTAAATTTACGGTGTCGCCACGACAGTAACATTGAGGATATTGGTAAATTATGGTTGCCGAGGATCTGCAAGTTCTCGTGATAGTGGTATCTAAAAGAAGTTATTTGATGTGGACCTTGAGCCAACGTGACGACGTTGAAAACACTGTTGGTGATGCTACCACCGTCAACAGCGAGAATCTCAGATCAATGATGATGAATTTCTTTTAACCCGAATTAAACAGTAGTGCATGATGTGGTTCCAGCAGGACTGGGTTACAGGTCACATAGCGAACTCCATCATGGTGATATTTCATGGACTCATTACGGGTAGCGTCATTTCCCGTAAGGTTGACGGAAATCGGCTATCAAGATCATACGATCTGATCCCGTTAGACTTTTTGTTATGAGTTTTACGTTTTTAATTTAAAGCAGGTTCATGCTGCAGAATTATTAAAAATCAGAACTCTCGAATCCGTAGCAACGGCTCAGATTTAACGCTATATTGCCATTCAAGACTTTCAAATGGAGAAACCATTATTCGTCCAAGATATCACACACAGTTTGCTTTACTCCAACTTACCAGTTCTTATTAAAATACCTAGATAAACACTAATTTGCTGTAATTCTATCTTATTCTACATCTAGAGGAACACAAGTGCAGTGTTATCAACCCTTGTAAGCCACTGGTAGGTCAACATCCGACAATACCCTCAACCGCCACTGGTTTTCATTGGGGACGATCCCTGAGAAAAATAAATGGATACAAATTACTTCCAGAGAGAGGATATTGCGAGCCCTAAAAGTAGACATACGCCTTGAACTGTATTACGTGTGCCCGTTCAGAAACGGTTATTATATGTTTGCTCGACAAATAAAGACTTTATTGTCATGGTACAAGTCACCGTAAAGGTTTTCATGAACTATATAACCGAAAATGAACATGTGAGTGAACATTGTTTTTCTATTAGTCTCTTGTTATGTATAGGTATATCGTAATATAGGTATTACATTTCTGATATGGAGGTTATGACTGTATTTTATTTTACAGGAAGTCAAGATCGCAGTAGTTAGGCCTTATTGAGCCTCACTTACGTCTAGGGATTCCTCAGGGACGAAGCTTATGTCCAAACTAGTTAGAAAAAGCTTTGTTATAGCGCCTATACTCAATGCTAAAGCTCTTGACAGGCAAGGATCTCAAATATATTTTGCAAATTTTATTTGAGAGGTGGTTATACCGAAGATTTTTGTTGAAATATGTAGCTGAAGACAGAAAAGTTGTGGTCATAAGGCAAAAATATACAGTGGGATTCAGAAAATCGTAGTAATATTTTTGGGGTTGAACGTGAGCACGAAAGTAACAAAGTTGGTATAAACATTAGTTCTAAAATGCCCTTTACTGAGACACAGGATGTATATGATATAATTTTGAAATCGAAAAAATATATCCCTGGAGTAAAGTTAAAATTTTGTTCATGTAGTACTTATACCAAAACCAATACCTACAAGTATTCTCGTAACTCAAATTACACCTGTAGCGAAAAATTGAAAAAATTTGGTCTCTACAGAAGAAAATAGAAAATTATTTTCTACGCCACTTACTTCTTTGGATATTGCATTTTTGAATAATGTATTTAGGGTGGATTTCACCAGGGTTGTCAAATCAACATTTCGTCATTCTCCAGTCAAGTCATCGTTGGTTGTCAGAGCGGTCCGTGGGACCTTAGCTCTTGAGTCACAGTGTCGGTTTGTAAGTCTGTCAGGTCTGGTAACCCAGAAACCAGACAATTTTAAGGAAAAAAGGGGAAGGAAAGGAGAGAAGGAAGAACGAGAGCAAAGGGGAAGAAGAGGATCTTTTAGGATATGCAGCGTTTAGGCATTGTTAAAATCGCTTCACAGATTTTGATATGGTCTAAAAATATTTGATTTTTTCTAAAGATTGTGTAAAAATGCTCCAATTTTGGTTGTTCTAAGTTCACGAGTTAATTTTGATTACAGTGCGAGCCGCGGCCTTTTGTGCTTGCGAACTTGCTCGACTGTGTAGTCCACTGAATCACGCAACAGAGGGTTGCTGTGCGATTCCGCTAGGCTATAGCGCCGCTGCGCCTGTTGCTTAGTGTAGTCCTTTAGGTAAGGGACATCGAGGTCTCTATGTAGAGTTTCGTTAGAGACATACCATGAGGCATCAGCAATAGTGCGCAACGTCCTGCTTTGCAGAACCTGCAGACTTCGCATGTGTGTTTTAGCAATAAAACACCAAGCCGCACATGCGTATGTCATTGCTGGTCTTATGACCACCTTATAGAGTCGAATCTTGTTAATCAAACTTAATTTTGACCGTTTACATACTAATGGGTAAAGCTGCCGAAACGTAATTTGGAATTTAGTTTTTAGCGCTTCCATATGGTTCCGCCAAGTCATCCCTTTGTCCAGAATGACACCGAGATACTTAGCGGAGGATTCCCATGGTATACGAAGTCCATTCATTGAAACTTCAGACGGAACGCCGCGATGTCTTTTTGTACAGTAGATTGCCTGCGTTTTCGAGTGGTTTATTTTAATTAGCCACCGATCCGCCCAATCTAATACTTCTTCCACCGCACTTTGCAGCCTGTCATGGACTAGGTCACCAGACCACGACTGAGCCACCAATGCAGTATCGTCAGCATAGAGATAGACTTCACAGTTGCTGGGACTAGGGACGCCATGGATGTACAGTGAGTAA